TATATATATATATATGCAACAAAATCCTCCACCTTCCCCAGCTCCACCTGTATAGATCTGTACGGGGTAATTTCATTTGTGTTATATATGGGGGTTATTTCATCTATGTTATATGTGCAGCAGCAGTATTTCCTACATGCTCACAGCAGCATGTCTGTGGATGTATTGGCAGTAGCAAATCTCTGTACTTGCTCTGCCGCCGCAGCAGCGTAGCAGATCTATTCCTCCAAGACCAAACACGTTAACATCACCATGTATATTACAATGCTAAACTCTCCAAGAGTTGTCATGACAGACCTTTTAGTGAGTGTTAAATGATGGCAATGGAAATCTAAAATGCAAAAACCAGGAGGAAATAAGTATGCAAAAATAAATATACAAAATTGATATAAATTAATTAATAAATAAATACTAAACCCAATATGATACCAACATATCATGCATCCATAGAAAAATCGTAAACAATAAGACCAGGAACAAGTGCTAAGAAAGCAAACTTGGCATTAAACAGCAATAACCTGGTATTTGCTTATCAGAGGTCAACAGGAACAAGGCTCCAGATGAAAATGACTGGTTTTAGGAATGAAGCTGACATGATATTTCCACTTCGGGCTCCGACGAGAGTTACGTAAGACAGCCGAGGCCTCCGTGTTGCCTTGGACACGTCTCCTGTACTATATGTTACGTGTGTGTCAAGTGATCACATCCCGCCTGCGATCCATCACCATCCTCTGGCTAACAAAGACAGATTTCCCCCGGCTGAGACACAGCGTTGGCATCACTGTGTCTCACTCTTTCTCTAAAGGCCTGAAGGCTGATCAAGTGCTGTCAAACCCCTCTGGCATAGTTCACGCTCGCTGTCTGTCTGACGTCTTCCCTCTGCATGTCTCTCTCTCCAAGCCAATACTCTCGCAGTAGCTCTCTTTCACCCCTAACCCACAATTGATTTTCTTCACACGAGGATAAAAAGCCTTCAGGGCTTGAGGTCTTGTGCGCTTATGGAGTCTTGACTAAGTAAAACCTTTAATTCTTTCTAATATTCTTTCCTAAATTCCCTTAGAATTACAATGGCCTGTCTCTTCATTCATAAACCAGACATGTCTCTCTTAAATTACTAATTATACTTTGGTGTTGTTCGTTTTTTTGTATTTTCTACACTGATTAGCCTTTCCGTAGCTTAGTAATGTGTCTAAAAATAACCCTGAGTTGTGAATAGAGCAAAAATGAAGTGTTATTTTAAAGAAACCGTTCACCTAGAAGTAAAAAAGGCACGTTAATGTGAAACACGAAACACAAAAAATTATATTTTTAAAGAATTCTACTTGCTCATTTCATGCAACTACAAAAAAAAAAAAAAAATCAGAACTGGAATGTTCAAGCTTCAAAAAGATACAAAAGAGACACTATATTTCAAGTCTTCTGAAGTTATATGAGTTCTGAGTGAAAAACTCTAAATTTTAGCCATTATTCACTAAATTTGGCACATTCATGAGAGAAGCCGAGATGAATCAGGAGTGAAGCTTTTAGATCAGAGCTTTTGAATTAATCAGTTAATTTGTTTACAAAACAGGTCTGAATGATTCATTTATGAATCGGACTGATCTAGTTCTCAAGTTTAATTTACTGACTCAATCTGAATGCAGAAGTTTACAGCTCACTCATCCAGATGTTTTTCCCAAATTTTGACAATATTCGATACATATCCTGATATTATGACTCAAGACTGATTGACTCTAAACTTGAGATTTAGATAAATTTAAGTTTAGATTTAATTATCATTTAGATAGATTGATTCATTCAAAGGATCTGCCTTAATAGAATGATTTGGTCATAATTCTGGCATCTCTACTTTTTTTTTTATATAAATAAACATGCCAAATTTAATGAATAATGGCTTAAATTAGAAGAAATAAAAGAAAAAAAGAAAAAAAAAATCCTGGAAACTCCAGTTCCTATTCATTGGTATTGTATGGAAATGAGCAACTACATCATTCTTTAAAATTTCTTCTTTTGTGTTGCACAGAAGAAAGTAAGTCCAACAGGTTTTGAAACAACAAAATGAGTCTGACTAAACGATGACACATTTTTCAATTTTAGGTAAAGTACACCTTTAAAAAGTCATCAACAGCTTGCAAGAACAAACATGCTGCAATTTAAGTGTAAAATAACCCCGAGGCTCTGTTGCGAGCACAGGAAGAGGCAGGCAGGGTGCTCCTATGACAGTTTTGACAGTCGTATACATGAAGAGCAAAAAGATTAGGTGTGATTCCTCTGTCTGTGAAAGTTCACGCTGACTGAACAGGCTAAGCTGTCTAAAAAAAAAAGACTGGGAAGCATTGTTTACACTTAACAGCGTGACGAAAACAAAGTCTTTATTAATCACCAGCACTGGTGAAAACTATAGAGGTCTGAGTAAAAGTCATCGAGCCGAGCAACTGTCTGGTCTTGAACTGGCTTTGATTTAAGCTGCAATGTCAGATTTGAGCCTTCCTGTGAACAAAAGCTATCTTTGGAGATGTTGGAGCAACACAGTTATAGCTGTCAGATGAAATGTACAAAAACATGCCCAGGTCAGATTTCACCCCAAAATCAAAACTATTCTCATGAAAATTAAGAAAATAAAAGATACAAAAGAGACACTATATTTCAAGTCTTCTGAAGTTATATGAGTTCTGAGTGAAAAACTCTAAATTTTAGCCATTATTCACTAAATTTGGCACATTCATGAGAGAAGCCGAGATGAATCAGGAGTGAAGCTTTTAGATCAGAGCTTTTGAATTAATCAGTTAATTTGTTTACAAAACAGGTCTGAATGATTCATTTATGAATCGGACTGATCTAGTTCTCAAGTTTAATTTACTGACTCAATCTGAATGCAGAAGTTTACAGCTCACTCATCCAGATGTTTTTCCCAAATTTTGACAATATTCGATACATATCCTGATATTATGACTCAAGACTGATTGACTCTAAACTTGAGATTTAGATAAATTTAAGTTTAGATTTAATTATCATTTAGATAGATTGATTCATTCAAAGGATCTGCCTTAATAGAATGATTTGGTCATAATTCTGGCATCTCTACTTTTTTTTTTATATAAATAAACATGCCAAATTTAATGAATAATGGCTTAAATTAGAAGAAATAAAAGAAAAAAAGAAAAAAAAAATCCTGGAAACTCCAGTTCCTATTCATTGGTATTGTATGGAAATGAGCAACTACATCATTCTTTAAAATTTCTTCTTTTGTGTTGCACAGAAGAAAGTAAGTCCAACAGGTTTTGAAACAACAAAATGAGTCTGACTAAACGATGACACATTTTTCAATTTTAGGTAAAGTACACCTTTAAAAAGTCATCAACAGCTTGCAAGAACAAACATGCTGCAATTTAAGTGTAAAATAACCCCGAGGCTCTGTTGCGAGCACAGGAAGAGGCAGGCAGGGTGCTCCTATGACAGTTTTGACAGTCGTATACATGAAGAGCAAAAAGATTAGGTGTGATTCCTCTGTCTGTGAAAGTTCACGCTGACTGAACAGGCTAAGCTGTCTAAAAAAAAAAGACTGGGAAGCATTGTTTACACTTAACAGCGTGACGAAAACAAAGTCTTTATTAATCACCAGCACTGGTGAAAACTATAGAGGTCTGAGTAAAAGTCATCGAGCCGAGCAACTGTCTGGTCTTGAACTGGCTTTGATTTAAGCTGCAATGTCAGATTTGAGCCTTCCTGTGAACAAAAGCTATCTTTGGAGATGTTGGAGCAACACAGTTATAGCTGTCAGATGAAATGTACAAAAACATGCCCAGGTCAGATTTCACCCCAAAATCAAAACTATTCTCATGAAAATTAAGAAAATTCTTGACAAATTCCCATTCCCATTCTTGCCAGGTATTATGAGATTCATCCTTATTTACCTCTGACGAGTCAGTTCACTTTAAATAATATCGTCACAAATCAGCTCATATAAAAAAGTCACTTCGACTAAAGAGCTAGCAGTCATTCCCTCACCTCTATCAGCCCTCAAACAAGAGTACGTACAGACAAGCTTTTATCAGCTGAACACCAGCACACATGCTTGCAATATATCAGCATAAATTCATGACACGGGATAAAGCTTAGCATCTATGGTCAGGTGTAACAATCTGAGTGCCTGCGACAGCCTCGTTTGACAAATATCACATTTCCTCTCAGGCAAGCTATTGTTCAGCATGACAGCTGTGAACTGACAGCTCTGCAGGTTAATGACATACTGATTAAATGAGATGCGTGTTAATGTTGACAAGGTTAGGGCCTGATAAATCGCAAGAAGTATGAATTTCAATGCCAGCTACTGGGCTGCTGCTTTATCAGAGTAATTGGCTGTACCCTGTGTGGATAATTTATTTACATTTTACCACCGTTAATTGGCCGTGATGCTGCTATAAATATGAGCTGCATTGCAAATAAAGCAAATAAATATGTTAATGAAAGCACAATGGACAGACAACATCAGGCCGGACGTTCCAATAGAAGTGTTCTGGAAAATGGTCAATAAGTTTTGACAAGTCCATACAACCAATTTCCAATTCATTCAAATGTTTCTCACAGACGTGATGTAAACTATAAACATTAAGGATGTCTGAAAAGCTCTGTAAAAATCATTCATCAGCATTATTCGGAAGGTATCGGCTTTCTAAACAATGGTTAAGTTACACCAGGGTTCTCAATGCAACGACTTGCTATGTCTGCAAAACAAAATACAACAAAAAAATTGCAACTAACAACACAAGCAAGAAACGTAATTAGACAATATTACTTACTCTCAGCAATGACGCGTTGTCCTGTCCAGTCGTCATTGATGACTTGTATATTCCCATAATGAACATCGCTTAAGAAAATCCGATTGGTTCCGTGCACTTTCTGACGATGATCAAAGGCCAAAGCTATAACGTTTTTAAAATAATTTGGGTTCTCGTACGCCCTGATGGGCGAGTTGAGGTTATTCTCGTCCGATAGATGAATACTCCTCAAAACGGTCCTCTCAGAGTAGAGCAGGTAACCCTCGTACCTGTTGCACTTGAGTCCATCCTGAGCAAGATATCCGTGAGCGCAAGCACAAGTTTTCCGGTTATTCCCCAAGTAAAAACAAAGTTGCTGGCATCCTCCATTTGCTCTGCTGCAAGCGTTCGTACCTGGGTAAGTCAGAAAATCAGAAATCAGACTCCCTACAAAGTTTCAAAACCAAAGGTGTCAAACTCAGTTCCTAGAAGGTCACTGTCGTGCAGAGTTTAGTTCCAACCCTAATTAAACCCACCTGAACCAGCTTATCAAGGTCTTCAGGATTACTAGAAATATTCAAGCAGGTGTTTTTAGAGCTGAACTCTGCAGGATTTTGGCCGCCCAGGAGCGGAGTTTGACACATATGGTCTAAACAAATGATACAAGCTAACAATAACTTTGAGAAAATAGATTCAGCATGCAAACAAACTTCATAAACCAAGAATATTCTCAGACATTTACTGCTACGACAGCAAGTTTAATTGATTTCTTTTACACATGGCGTCCATCGTCAGGCATTCGTTCATCAGCAGGAGTATCTAATCCTGCTCCTGGAGGGCAACTTTCCTTTTGAGTTTAGCTCTAGTGCTCATTAATCACCTCTGAACTAGCTAATCAAGGTCTTCAGCATTACTAGAAACTTCCAGGTAGGTGGGGTGGAGCAGGTTGGAGCTAAACTCTGCAAAAAGGTGGTCCTCTAGAAGTGGGATTGGACACCCCTGCTTTATCTGGGATAAACTTGTACTTGTGTGCATTGGTGCAATGTTCAAAGAACAGGAAAACTGCCATTAAGTGAAACCTCAACCTTTCTCCCGATCCTGGTTAAAGACCTTCACATCTTTCAGACTGACACCCAAGCCGCTCCTGATGGTCACTAGGTCCACGGTGTCTTTCTTGGAAGCACGGCGGATGGATCCATTGGCGTAGGCTCTACCGTTATGGGGACATAAGACCGAAATTTTTACACTTGCTAATCAATGGCCCTCGACTAATTAAAACCAATGAACTCATTAAAATACAGTACACAGCTGGTCTAACAGAAGGTGAGGTAACCCATCCTTGGAATGACATTGAACCACAGGAGATTCTGAAATAATCAAATGTGTTTTTTTTGGACTAGCATTGTGACCTTATAGGGAAAATGGGACGGTATCTGCTTTTATGGGCCATTCTTAGAGACTGTAACATTTATGGAAAAATAAATTACCTGTCAGACCAGAAGAGGTAAGCCCCAAAGACTGCTATGGAAAACATATCCACCCCACTCGATGAGAACACAATCTCCCTCTGCTCACCCCGCTCAAGGTTGATTCTTTCAATCTTGCTGTTGCGGGTGTCGCACCAGTATAATTTATTTTCCTACAACACAGTTTGAAACATCATGCATTTGTTCAATTAAGAACAAAGGGATATATGATCTCGCCCTAAAGCTCAAGATAAACAATGAAATCAACATGGACTGCAACCTGCAGCGTAAGCATGTAGGGGAAGCAGACCTGATAGTCTATGGAGATGCCGTTGGGCCTTTCTAGTCCGGTGCTAACAAGCACGGCTTGCTCTGAACCATCGAGACGTGACCTGGAGATGGTAGGACTCTGGCCCCACTCCGTCCAGAAGAGAAACCTGCATGAATTCAAAGGAAAATATGATTAAGTAGTCTTCCTGAGGAATTTTGACCTTTGCACAGTTTGAAATCCAAGATTTATCTACAATTGCAGTGAAAACAAGTATAATGCTAACAGGGTTACAGTTTGTTTGGGCTAATGCGGTGTTCAAGTCCTCCTGGGAAGATCAGAAATTCTAAATACGATGTGTTTTCCTCTCCTCTACCATTCCCAGTCCATTTCTAGGTGTAATCAGATAGTACACGGTCAAAAAAGGGGTACAACAACATTTAAGGATACAACAGCTGGGGCCTGATGTATAAACGTTGCGTACGCACAAAACGGGCATGGAAATGTGCGTACGCAATTTTCCATGCACATATCGGGATTTATAAAATATAAACTAGGCGTAAATATGTGCGCACCGTACGGACACTCTAGACCATGCGTACGCACTCTTTTACTGGAGGCAGCGAAGTAAGGAAGCAACCAGAATGATTTTAAAGTCTGTTTTACATTTGACATACACGTTTAGATTAAATATGACACTCTGAATAATGAAGTTAAGCACTGAAATTTCATGAAATTATTATCCAGAAATTACAACATTTTTATATGAATTTAAAAATAAATATTTGCAGTGGATGTGCTGCTTTCAAACAATTTTCCTGTGGTATGCGATTTAATGTT